TCGACAGCAAATATTTGTCAGTTCCAGATTTGTGCGAGTCTATTTTTGCGTGAATGCTTATAGCCTAACGTTATCATCTTTAAATTAAATCAGAACTGTAGAGAAAAAATACAGAGGACATTTTTAAACCGTGTTTCCAAAACAAACGTGATTAATTAATGAAGTTAAACATTCTGTGAGATTATGTAACAACGATATTACTGTACTAGAACTTTGTATTGTATTTGAATTGCTGAAATGAAAGGTATTGCATGAAAAGTGCTATCCTTTATTAAGAAATGAAGTTTCCTAAAACAAATCATCCTTATAAATTTGCCCATTAATGATTATAAAATCACCCTCATTTAATAGCAAAATTATCTAAAATTCTTTAGAAAAGTTAAGATGGAAGAATTTGAAGTGAAGGTATTATTACGACTATTAAAACAGAAAACATGACTGCGCAAACCTGAACCGTTCATCTCTTTTTTTTCCAGATAGAGCCTGATGTAGAGCACATCACCTTGTCATTTCACCACTGAGGTCCCTAATGCTCGACCAGGTAGAAAGGTGGAGCTCCCGAGGTGTCACGTGTGCCGCGATAATGCGAGCTGATGAAATTGATGATGCTACCAAGGAAGGTGGGAAGATTGTTCAACACATTGAACACAGAATGTGACCATAAGACAATTTTCTCTGACGGAATAAGCGGGAAACCACTCAAACCTTTTGGGAAAAATTAGCGTACACAATTAGTATAGTATAGATTTTCTGATATCTTGTTAGCTGGAGTTACCCAGCCCTGAGTTTTATCAGTGGGTTGTCTATTAGGGCTGGAGCGCATTTTTCTCGTAACTTGTAGTATTTGCAAAAAAAATTTGGAAAATGTTCAATTTTGTCCCCGTTACACACTAATTGCAACTGCAACTCACCCCAAACTTGCCTGGAATAACCATTACACAGGTCCTTGAAGTAAAAAACGATCCACGATGAAGATTCAGCCTACAATTGCAGTGAAAACAGGAGGAATAACCGCTAACTTGACAACCTTGCTGGATTGGCCAGGACCGCTATTGGTTTGTGCACAAAAACAATTGTGTACAATGAATGGCGGTCGATTAACAGGCACAGAGAGCGATCGCTGTCAACTACTCGTTTTGCCGGCTGCGCTGGCTGTTGGCGCATGACGCCACGCGGAAGCGTAACACCCGATGACTGTTTCATGCACTAGTATAAGGTTTACCACTCGCATCACAGCTTTGGTACTGGAACCGCAACCAATAGTGCATGAAACAGTCATCGGGTGTTACGCTTCCGCGTGACGTCACGCGCCAACAGCCAGCGCAGCCGGCAAAACGAGTAGTTGACAGCGATCGCTCTCTGTGCCTGTTAATCGACCGCCATTCATTGTACACAATTGTTTTTGTGCACAACCAATAGCGGTCCTGGCCAATCCAGCAAGGTTGTCAAGTTAGCGGTTATTCCTCCTGTTTTCACTGCAATTGTAGGCTGAATCTTCATCGTGGATCGTTTTTTACTTCAAGGACCTGTGTAATGGTTATTCCAGGCAAGTTTGGGGTGAGTTGCAGTTGCAATTAGTGTGTAACGGGGACAAAATTGAACATTTTCCAATTTTTTTTGCAAATACTACAAGTTACACATGTACGAGAAAAATGCGCTCCAGCCCTACCCAATGATAATACTCAGGGCTGGGTAACTCCAGCTAATATCTTGTTATATTTTATTGCAGAAATTACGGAAGGGAAATTTCAACTTGAATTTGCATGTGCTTGTCTGCTTCAACAACACTCACGGCGTGACGAACACACTTGCATACGCCCACAATTCTAATACGCATGCGTGAGAGCCATTCAGTTGCTACGCATTTTGCGCATGCGCGCACGCAAGCGCAAGCCTTCACACGAGCAGTCGGTTCGAGATGTTTACAATCGGAAGCACGAATTAGCGGATAATTTCCTTAAATATTTTATTCCTGGGACATATTCATTACTTCTCAACCATGAATTTGAGTGATTAGGGATACAAGGAATATGTTGACGCCAGTTGAGCTTCCTCTATAAGGTAAAAATGTGAGAAAATGCTTTAAATCAAATGTTCGCAATGACATGAAAACGTTATACCCTGGACGTCAGTCGCAATGCAATGTAGACGACGTCCAACCTGGGCTAGTACTTTCCCCAAAACTAGGCCCAAAACTAGGCCCAAAACATGCGAGGCGACTTGTCTCAACGGTCGACTTGTCTTTTCCATTTATTGCACATACGGTCGAGTTGTCTCAACGGTCGAGTAGTCTCAACGGTCGACTTGTCCCAAGTCGAGTTGTCTCAACGGTCGACTTGTCTGACCCCCACTCACACTGTCAGTGTCATGGCTGTCGCAGCGTCACTCAGTCACAGTTAAACATCTCAACTAACACAGATACGACAATAAACTCGGCACTTCCTTTATTAAATAAAGCATCACCGTTTCCAATTATGAAATACACAGTTCATTCAGTCATTGTTTAATCAGCAATTAATGACAATAAACACAAATTCATACCCGTCATTTCCACTCCGTAGAAACGGTTCGACTGATCGTAGCGTTTCTTCACCGTTACCAGACGAATATAATAATTTTGAACAAGTTTGTATTTGGAAGTTGCCTACATGTACGTCTGGGTACCATGCCTTATGAAATATTCTGGCAACAGGGGGCGGTATTCCTAAAAGACCAAGAACCAAGAACCACAGACATGCGTTTATAATTATGTCTGTGCCAAGAACCGGGGGGGGGGGGGGGGGGCACACCCCATTTTCCCAGGCCAACAAAAGTGCCACTTTCGCCGTTCAAAAATGTGCCCCAGAAGACAACACTGCCCCTCAATTTCAAACACACACGTATGAAAGCATATGAACGCGCTCAGCAGGCGCGGTTCTAGAACAATATTTGGGGGGGGGGGGGGGCTAGCACACGTTTATCCAAATTTTTTTCTGGGAGGCGTGCTGAAATGTAGACCGGTTGCCTCCGAAAATCATAGGTGGTGGGGGGGGGGGGCTCATGCCATATTTTCAATGGGGAGCTTTCAATGGGGAGCGCCAATAAAATCCTAAAATCGTTCACACTATATTAACTAATGCACCCTTGTCACTCTATAATTTCTTCTTTAGGGGAAGACTGTAATTCGCATGTACATCACAATTCTTCTTTTTGCTAATGCAATTATATTTTTTTACGGATTTTTTTTTTTTTTGGGGGGGGGCTAGACAAAATTGTTTGGGGCTACAGCCCCTCCTAACCCCCCCCCCCCCCCCACAACCGCGCCTGGCGCTCAGTAGCGTATCTAGCTTTCGATGTCGGGGGGGGGGGGGGGGGGGGGGGGTGGCAACCGCACATCCGCGCCGAAATAGACAGGCTCAGTCCGGACGTTTGGCCTCAGTAAAATCAAACAAGGGGGGGGGGGGGTTGGTTAGTACCCATCTTCCAAATTGGGGCGCTATTCAAACGTGACCATTATTGTGCATATTGCAAATTTCATGCCCTTTTTCACGGTGCATTGTAATGGTTTTTGAGCGGGTTTTCTTTTTTGGGATTGATGTCAGAACTCTCTAACCATTTATTAAAATAATTGCTGAAAAATGCAAAACTGCCCGTCTTGCATGACAACAAGATTGTGCACCTACTTGCCGGAAGGAGAACTACCCTTAGAAACAACAAATACCTCTCGCATTAATACAATTGTTCCCCTCTCCGCTAGATGGGACATTGGCCATGAAAAACAACAGTAGGCCTGGTAAACTGCCCCTCGAAAGCACAATTAGGGCCTCGCTCGCAACATAAAAAAAATATGCCCCTCTCTGAGTGTGACATGGAGAACTGGCACTTAAAAATAATATTCTCTTCACACGAATAGTCTCTTCACTGAACTGGCCATCAAAAGCAACAGTGCCGCTCTCGCGATAAAAAAGGTCTTTCTACAAAAAGAAACACAAAGAGCAAGATGGTCAACGTAATCATAATTTGTTCCCGGCCTCGTCATATAGGTTCATAGCGAATTGAACGGGACCATATTATTCTTTTTCTCCGCCACTTTCGAAAAAGTACCCTTTTTCGGTGTTGTCCTCCCCTCCCCCCCCCCCCCCAGTCTGGTTTCCTATCCCCATTGTCCATCGGACTTCAAATAAGGGAAACAGTCCCCCCCCCCCCCCCCCCCCCCCCCCCCCCCCCCCCCCCCCCCCCCCCCCCCCCCCCGTTTGAAAAAGCGTTCCGCCGCCCATGACCACGCGTCCTGCCCCATATCATTGCATGACCAGTGGCGGATCTGTATAGGGAAGTTAAGGCGGTACAACCATCCCTGGGGCAACAAAAATAGGAAATCATGCAGAGACACGGAGCACATTCGGCCTAGCTGCCCCCCCCCCTACCAGTTTACACACCCTTGAGCCAGTTGGATCTCAGTTGAACATGCTTAACTTACTCTCTTCGGGCTATTTTTGAGTTTTACTCGTTAAAAATATGTAGGTCCCATATACTTATTAAATTTCCTATATTGTGGAAATATTTATTTTATTCATGTTTGAACGAGGCATCGAACGAAAAAAAATCCTCCCACAAATTTAGATATTGAATGAAACTTTCAAATGTCATTTGCGGTCCGATAAAAGTTACCTTCAACGATAGAATGATGCAAAAAACGTCAAGAACATCGTATTGGACGGGAATAAGGTACTAGTACCTCTTCGGTCATAAATGTATTCCCCATTTTAAAAGTCGCAGTTTGAATGAACCAAAAATTTCCATAATCTGATGAGCTAAAACTTTAATTTCTTCACATTGTCTTCTCTTTACTGGGCCCTATTAATGCATAAGTGGAGTCCACTAAACGGGCTGCCCAGTTAAAATATGAATTACAAATTAAATTAACTTAATAAATAAATATGTAAGCTGAACCAGAAAATGCCAATTGGCCAGAGTTTTAACATCTCAGTTTTAAGGACACGTCTTCAACAGAATTCATGTGATTGTCATCATTGTTCATTATTAAACGAATCGTCATTTTATTCCGTGATAATGTCCTCTATAATACATTATAAATCCTGTTTTTTTTAATAGGAAACAAAACTCTTTCTTCAGGCAGTTTTTTAGAGCTCACTTTCATACAGGAGAAGCAGATTAATGAACTTCCAGGAGTAACTCGATCGCTAACAATAAAACGTCTAGTATTGCACAGGTCACATCGGGACAGGCCCACATTATTTTCTGAAACGAGCTTAATAATCGGGTTTCCTTCTCGGTGCAACTATTAAAGGCATTAATTTGGTCATCCACAGACAATCGGTAAGCGGAGTTAGAGGGTAATGTTTTGTACCACATCCCCATGCCTAACTAGTTAGAAAATGACATTATTAAGTCGCATATTCACTTGTCGATGTATTCCCGAAACCAGAGTTAATATAATGAACTACTTTAGATTGTGTTCTTCTGGTGAACGTTGTTTAACTCAGCATGGTTGATGCGCGAGATGAAGGCACCGACTTGGACCCTCCAGATGTTCCCTGGCCCGTGGAAGGTGATCCCATGCTCAGGTACAGATTGTACCTCAGCGTCGTCTGTATCTCAGGGGAGATCTGGACGCGCTCCTCGGGGGAATTCTTGCTCCGCAGCCGCCTCTTCTTCACCTCTCCGTGGACGGTTGTCATCAAGTCTAAGAGGTTCAGCTTTCTGGCAAACGTCTCAAGCATATCAAAGAGTACACCAACGTAGAAATGGTAGACGCTTGGGAGGGAATCACTTGTGGCTTCCTTAGGGATAAGAGCAAATGTCAGCAAGAAGTCATAGTCGTTAGGGATTAGTGTAGGGGTTGTGGGGATGGTGGTGTCCTTACTGACGTGCACTCTTGGAGAGAGTTTAGCCTTGACGTTACCCTCAAGAATCTGGAGGAAGAATAGCTTAGGTTTGTCGGCTAAGGTCGGGCAGTTGGTCCGGGAGAAGATGTCAGTCAGTTGTTGGACCTCCACAGCGATGCCGTCTGGGCCGATGATCTTCCCTCCCCTGGCTCCGCGAGAGAGGATGCAGACGATGACGCAGTCGAAATAGGAGTGATCCTCGAGGCTCAAGAAGCGGAGAGCTGAGATGATGTCCAGGGACATCAGACCCCTCATGATGCGGACGTTGAATCCCAACTTGATGAGAACACTTCGTAATCTGTCTGTTGGATGATGGAGACATTGAAAATTAATGTCTGTCTTCAAGTAATAACTGTACTTCAAAGCCATTATGCTATAGGGATCTGACCTCTAAAATGAACTCGAGCATTTGTATTTAAAAGCCAATGCATAACAATCTATGAATTTCAATTAACCAAAACATAACAGAAGTAAAAACAAGTCATCCATCCTCATGAAAAAAAGTTTGCCGGTGTAGCGTGAATATCCGACTCCATGAAATGTGGAGTCGTTGGTAGTATTGCGTATGCGTAAGTAATATGATAAGATATTGACTGGTCACGTCACATGAGAGGGGTTAACCAATAGTCCGATTTTCACAGGAGTCGGATTTTCATATTACACCGGTTTCAGAGTATTTGGGGTTTTGACAATTTTACAAAGAAAACAATGTGTGAGAGACTTGATGAACTGATGCCCAGAATTATATCTGTATGCGCACCCATCATACAAAGTAATTTACGAGACAATCGTATCCCTACCAGTGTTGTCTTGTTCTTTAGCGTCCTCTCGTCCATCACTTGATGACTGACTCGATGCTCTTCCATTCAAACTCTCCTCAGCTTCCAAGGTGCAAAAATTATCAATAATGACAGCCACACCTCTAGGTCTAGTCCTCATGAGGTAACACGGCCTCTCGCGGCCTCCGTCAAGGCCTGCCTCTGTCCTGAAATGCACCATTCTCCTTTTCTCGGCTTTCTTGATAATTTGGTCTTGATGCTCACCAAGTCCTTGGATACCCTTCTGGCATGCTTCTGTGAGTTGCTGGATCAGTGGACATTCTTGCCACTCAAATATCTTAAGGTTAGAGAGTTTGCTAGCCAGGAAGACCGGGAGACAGCGCAGAGGATTGTTCTTCAACTGCAGGTCTTCAAGACATGTTAGCTCGCACAGCGCAGGAGGCAGCCATTCCAGACGATTGTCATTAATCCAGAGAAGCTTCAAGCTCTTCATGGAGGCGATCTGGTTCGGCAGGCTGGTGATCTGATTATTGTCCAGGAAGAGCTTCTCCAGACAAGCCAAGGATCCGCTGCACAACACTGTGGGGAACTCTGCAAAGCGGTTATCCGAGAGATCGATCCATCTCAGATGGGTCAAGTTCACGATGGCTCTAGGAAGCTCTGTCAACGAGTTGCAGCTGAAGTAGAGCCTGACCAACTCGGTCAACTTGCAGACAACCTCTGGACACTTCTGAAAGGAGTTGTTCTCGAGATACAGCCACTTTAGCCGACCCAGCATGGCCATCTCGGCCGGGAGATCCTTCAGCTTGTTGACGTTCAGGTTCAGCCATTGGAGCTCTCCCAGACTGAAGAGGTCTGTTGGGAGTTGTTGGAGGTTTCGATAGTTGAGATCGACGCGGAGGTCGTATGCGTTGCCTCGGTAAGGGGAGATACCGAGTGCCTGAAGGGACCAGTCTGTACCTGCCATCACTGCTTCGCTCTCATCCAATCATGTATAACTGACTGCATACATTGTATCGTTGTACAGCACAACACTCTGTGAACACAACAGAGTAAACTTGTAAATTGTCTGATTTTTTTTGCGTCAATATAGGACCTAATATATATAGTTTGCACAGATACATGACATACAAACCACCCCCTCCTTTTTTTTTTGGGGGGGGGGCAAGATTCAGAAACTTCAAAACTGCTCTGCCACAATCTTACTAGTTTGTTTGGATTCAAAGATGGCCTGCACAGGTACCCCTGCCAGACGATCCCCCCCCTTCCACATCCCTTCCGTGATGCCACAGTACGTGACTTCACGTCCATTCTCAAAATTTAATTCATACAATGTATTCTGGGTCCATGGTCAAACTGTAGGTCACACAAGCGGGTGAGTATAGTAGACTATAGTACCCCACTAGACTGTTGTGTGAAATAATCACAGCCTGGAAGGTGAAAGCCAAACATGTGCACGTGCGCTGTGATGAAACGATCCCCCTTTCATGAACATGTTATTGGTATAATAATACGATGATATTTGGACGTGAAAGGTTTTATGGGCGGATTAGCTCAATTGGGCTGTTTAGCCGGGGGGGGGGGGTAGCAAGCATGTGCTACTTTTTTGCATGATTTTCCGATTTTGTGGAGGGTTAGACCGCCTAACGTACACCCCCAACCACCACCACCACCGGCACCACCCCCGTAGATACGCCACTGGTTTATAATTAACCAGATGCTTTTTCAAGTTGCATCCGGGCCGTACGGATCGACAAGAACGGAATTCACGATCATGGACAACCATGCAGGATAACTACACATGCTGTCGGATGATGACGTACTTGGGCCAGCTGCCGCCAGCAACGGACATAAATATTGACAGTTGTAATTCAACACAGCCATTCCTTGCGTTATTTGCTCAATAAACGAACCAAGAACCATAGTAGCGAAGCATCAGTCTGCTATTAAAAAAATCATGCGATGTAGGCTTGTGTTGTACTCTGAATAGTGGCGTGTTCAACGGCATTGTTGTTTTGAAAGAAACATTCATTATTCATACTTTAAACAAGATGATTTGGAAATACATGTACATACCTTATAGTACTAGGATCGTGGAGCTCTTTTTTTTTATAGTTCCATGGCAGGCTAGTGACAGGTTGCTCCGCGAAAATAAAAAGCACTCATCCTCATCGCACGGGTCGGTGTGCAACGGTACATGTTTGGGGAAACCCTCGTAGTGCACAGTGCTAGTGCCAGAGGGTAAAGATCGTTCGGTTGGGATGCATATTGTACTCGCATTTACTTGCACCTTGCTCGCTGCTTTGAATATTGATTGTGTTCACTCGTATCCCCGGCCGGGTAGGTCGACGTGCTTCAGTTCTTTCAATGGAGCCCGTGTCACAGTGTTTGCTAAGGGTCAACGGTGGGCACGTTGTAGGATCGTCGAACTAGTAACAGCTTTTGACAGCGTAAGTGGGCAGGTTGATGGACGTGGCGGATCCAAGATTTTCAAAAGAGAACTGCTTGAGTATCTCAAGAATTTTCCAAAAGGGGGAAGGGGGGGGGGGGGCGGCTAAATTATTTTTGTAACTTATTAGACAATAAGAGAGGAATGTTTTGATCGAATGCAATTTGTGGGAACTTTCAACACAAAAACCAGGCTATATGGAAAACCAAAACGGATATCACGTTATTTTGATGCGCGATCATGACGCTCACGAAAGTTACAGTTTTCATCGCAAAGCTATAAAGCCCCTCGGACAACTTTCGGGATTTGAATTTTGGGGTTGGGTTTCTTTGACGGGTACCCGATTCCCGCACTGCCCGTAAATCACACCACTATAGGGCTGACTTCTTAGGCCAAAAAAAATAAGTCTCCGGTTTCTGGTATGCGCGCGCGTCGCCGTAGCCATGCGCGTCGGCAAAATGATATTTTTTTTTTCAATAAAAGATGATGTCTCAAAACCGCCAAACTCACTGGTTTGACTGGAATCCTGCTGCTGCACAATTGTAACGTACTAAGTTTAGTCGGGCACCATTTGCAGTCATCAACCGACATTTGAAGCAAAAAAGACAGGTAACAAAAAAAAAAGCCGCGTCGTCGCACCACTTTTTGGGGAAGCTCCAGTACCAGAAACCGGAGACTTTTTTTGGCCTTATACGCCAGCCTATACAATCTTGTGAGGAGTCTAAATGAAAGTGCCAGTATGCCGAATTAAAGGACAAGACAGTTAGATAAAGAGCTATCTCTCACTCCAACATATTTATGTTGTGTTTAAAGTGACAAGAACTAGAACGTCCCATGTCCAAGATTTCGGGAGGGAAGTGTCAAAACATATACCACACACAAAAATGCAAAACTTCACGAAATATAGTTTACGTCAAAAAGTATAAAAAATTTATTGAGCGCATTTTTTTTTATATATATATACATACATGTATATGACAATCAAGGTGATTTTCGGGGATAAATTGCATACAATTAAAACTATCACAGTGTTGTCACTTATGCAGATCCCAAGATTTACTCTACACTGTACAACACAACAGACGTCAGAACTAGTTTAAGACGATTCAAGTTCTATAATTAATCTTTCCACAACATTACGATTTTTCATAGCATTATGTTGTAACTTCTATATGATATAAGCAACACGTGAACAGCAAAGCCCGGCTTCGTTCTGGCCTCTACTCCATCTCTGCATCAGAATCATATAAAAGCATTTTAACATCCACACCAAATGGAAAGATCCAATAGTTTGGTCTCATATTTAATAACGATAATTCTGAAGCAGAACATGAACTTATTTTAGCCTGTAAGAAAAAAATTCTTTGAAGCCGATTTCAGATATAAAACCGAAGTTTAAAACAAATATGTTCGATGCTTGAACGACCTCCCTTGAAATTATACGTCTATTAAACACACACATACAACTACATACAACTTTTAAAGCATCACATATACACGCAGTAAGAATACAACACATTTCAGTCAGACGAATAGATATAATTTGTTAATTTCCAGTATCATTACCCGAAACAGAGCATATTGCTGATGGATTCTTTTCGAAGGGAAGATTGATAATTTTGCATAAAACGTCACCAATATATTATTATCCTAAATTAGTAGATTTGATATAAATAGCATTAATATAGTAATTACATCAATATATCTTTTTTTGATAAGTTTCGAATTAAATGCAGGCCACTTAATAATCATTTTGTAGGCACATTTGGTAACAGGAAGGGTTAATTAGTCATGAAATAAAGTATGTTTGGTCTTTCATTGGAATCAATTTGATACAGTGAAACTGTAACAATTCAGGCACATAGCAGTTTATATACTTTCAAAACAACATTTTTGATCAAGGCACAGATTTTCAATGTAATTACACAAGATATAAATCATCGAAAGCACACTACAATTATACAAAATAATTTTGCATCAAGTTAATCATTTCGTTTCCTTTGGATTAATTATTGTATTGCTTTGGTTCTTTATTGAATTAAGTCTCGAGGAAAATAAAATTTTATTTTAAGTGTCTCAAAACCAGTATAGCTATTTACTCTAAAAGTACAACGAAAATATGACTACATTTCATTATATTCTATTTTTTAATCTGAACTTCACCCTCTTTTACCATACAAGACAAAGGAGAGTGATGATATATATTACTTATACATAGTACTCTATAAGCAACCTATGTAGATCCTACATTGTAAATAACACAATTTACTGACCACTAAAAGGAATGAAACCAGTGAAAAGGTGCTAAGTTTCCAGGGCTGTGATGAAGTCATCACAAGTTATCATAATTCATCACAAACCATCACAATTCATCACACAAGCCATCACAAGTCATCACAAGTCATCACAAGTCATCACAAGTCATCACAAGTCATCACAAGTCATGCAGTTTCAAGTTCAGTCACAAGCCATTCATCCAGTCTTACTTGTGACCTGAACGGATTTCAATTTTCATTTGACTTGTGATTGACTTGTGGTTGGATTCATTACAATTCTGACTTGTTCTGTATTTGTATTCTCATTTTGTATTTTTATGGCATTTCAATGACACTGTACCCTTAAAACCAGGAAGAGCATCATTCCTCTTTCTCCTAGACACAAGCCTTATTTTGTAGCCTATCAGGCTGAAAAATTGCCATATTTCTGTGTACAAACAGCAGAAAAATATAACTATTGAAGATGTTTCATAACTGCACTTCAATCTAAAATAAAAAGTTCATAAAAAGTAAACATTTGAAACGTGGCATCATGTAAGCTTGCGTCACTGACGTCAACTTCACGTCTTCAAAATAGCGTCTTGACAGCGCCCTCATTGGGGTTCATCTTTGCATTACTGAGGGGCCTGGAGCACAGTACGTTCCTGCAGCACGTGGCTCAAGACTTCACTGATCAGTTGTAACGTCACCTTGGTGATGGGGTATTCCTGAGGGAGCTTGTTAACGATGTGAGGAGAACGGACATAGTATCTGACGGGGGAAGTCAAGAAATAAAACATTATTAGATTTATTAAGGGAATAGCACTTTGGAAAATCCTGGGGGGAATTGAGCGCTGTGTGTGGAGAACAGACTCGAGTTGAGAGGATATTTGATTTGTTGATGTGGAGAAGAATTTCCTAAGGAGCCCTGAGGGGCATTTCATGCAGCTCCTGCGCACAGGTAACATTTTGCTCAGCAAGAGCAGTTTACCAACCAAACTTTCATGCAGTGTACAATGCCTGTGACTGGCCCTCCGCTTTAATTTGGGCTAAGCATTAACATTTCCTAAACGCAAAGATATTCCCTCAGCAAAAATATAGATTATCAATTAAAGTGTTATGCAGTGTATACATATTGCTTTGAATACTTTCTTTTAAGTTATTTAGATTACTGATTTTTTCAATAACATTTTTTCTTATCTTGAAATTGTAGTTTTGGTTTTTTTTAATACAGAGGTTTTGTTTTGTCAATTAATTTTCAAAATAACACAATTTTACTCTATCAAACTTTATGTAAACATTTCAATTTTATTTTTTATGATCCATTAAATGTTTACTTTTCAATTATATCCCTAACCCTGCTGAATCAAACAGGATCCAACTATATCATAAACCCGTTGGAGCCTGTTGGATAGAGCCCTTGTACATGTACACTATTCAAAGTCGGATTCTGTTGGGCACTGATAGAGAGTGCCAAGTTGGACTCTGTTGGATCCAGCAGACAACTACAAATTAGGCACAGTTGGATTCTGTTGGATCGAGCAGGAAGTAACCAAATGAGTAAATATTTAGGTAAACACCAGTAAATTTGGATGTCCAGTTTCTGTACAAGCAGGAGGCTTTTATCTGGTTGTCTTGTATCAAATCTTATCTTCTATCAGAAACGAACTCTTTTATTTGTTCTTGTGAACCAAATCAATACACAGTATACCAATCTACGCTAGTTTTATGATCCAAATTAACAATCATTTTACATATATTTGCATCAATGCGAGTGTAGACACTGCAATTTACCGATAGAAATACCTAGCAAGTAATCTATCAGAAATGAGAAGTCTGTCAGATTGAAAGACAAACATACAGATTACAAAACCCATCAAGACAGCATTTCAATTTCCTGCCATCGCTGAAATAATGGCCACGACCCAGATAGAGATACTGTCAACTCTGCAAGAGGTCTGTCATTTGTCATCTGTTGGTTTCCTTTTCTATCCCGTCTTAAGATAGCCCTCACCTCGAGTGGCTATTAATGGGGCCTTGTGATGGGCATCTCTCATTAAAAAAAACATGACTTATCTAATGAAACCCAACTGTACCCAACTCTAGTCGAATGTAAAACGGAATGCAGTGAAAAGCACGAATGTTCAACATTTTTACCCAAAAGATTTTAATCATTTCAAGTTCAAGATGGAATTCTCCAATCTGAAAAAAGTATATGAAATACCAAAACAAAACAGGGCTAAGTTTTGTACACTGAGACTAAAATTTTCATCTGATATCTGCAATTTCTTTTCCAAGATTTAGAAGAGAAAAAATACAATAGTCTAGAGCATATGTCCCTTTGACAATTTTTTCCTTACGAACACATTGGCAAATCTTTCCAATCATGCATCATTTGCGAGCATTAGACACACAAAATTTGATCAGCTTTAATCAATACGTCCCCGAGCAGTGCAATCATCCCACCGTAAGCGATAAACCACAAACATTATCTGACGTCTGGCATGCGATATCCACGGGAGACGACTTGTAATTAGGCGTGCCTCGTAATTACTGGACAGTGGGACAGCTCACACAGAACGCCACTATAGTCTGTTAGCGTCTTGTCTTTGTTACAGAATTCTCTGGAGGTTTGTGTTTAGATTTAATCTTCTCTGCCTGGGAGGGGGGGGTGGCACAGCTTGAAGAGTTATCGCTGGA